TTTAGGGACCACGAGTAACCCTGCGTTCTCAGAGCGCAGTGTTCTGGTGGGATAATATGGCACTATGAGCTCTCTAAGATATGACGGAGCTTGACCATTTAGAGCTTTATAAGTTAACAGTAGGATTTTAAATTCAATTCTGGATTTTACAGGGAGCCAGTGCAGAGAAGCTAAAACAGGAGAAATATGATCTCGTTTCTTAGTTCCTGTTAGTACACGTGCTGCTGCATTTTGAATTAGCTGGAGAGTTTTTAAGGACTTACTAGAGCTACCTGATAAAAGAGAGTTACAGTAATTCAGCCTTGAGGTAACAAAAGCGTGGACCAATTTTTCTGCATCTTGAGAGTAAAGTCATAAATCTAGTAGAATAAAGTTGTATTCTGTACAGACAGTGATGGGCTGACAGTAATATCCGTTTTAGTAGTACCAAAGTAATATAACACGTTACAAACAAGATTTTAGGTGATATTATCATATTTACAATGTCACCGTCATAGCCCTAATCCTAATTAAGCCTAATTAAGCCTAAAACATTATCTTCTACCTCGCAGATAATATCTTGTATGTAGGAGATAAACTTGCCAACATTGTCCAAAAGAAAAAAAATCACCTTGCCGCTCAGGGCTTCCATACAAATAAGATTATTTATTTATTTATTTATTTATTTTAGCTATCTTGTTTAAATGATTTTCACCCATGTTGCTGACCCGCATTGAAACATAATGTTTCTTGCTTCAAGAGAAGTCGGCCGGTGAAAAATACAGCCATAAAAGAATAAATAAATAAATCAATAAACAGAAATCCAGTAGTTCTTTTTTTTGTGTTGTTAATAAACCAAAAATAATGAGCCCCACAAACAAACTATGTGTCCAAATCCTACTTTGGAACCTTCTTTATTATATTTAGCAGCTCAGCTCGGTGGCTTTGGAAACATTGATTGTACAAGTTTTGTTTGTTCAACCATGTGCCGGATGATCAGACAATAAAGGAAGTCAAGTAAACCTCAGTGCATCCAGCATCCTTTGTTTTTTCTTTGTGCCTCTTATTGTAAGTCCCAAACTCTGCCTCGTTCACTGACTGATAAACAGGTCATGTGATGCTGTAAAGTGTGAAATCAATTACACAACATGTTTGTCATGTAGCCTTTATCCTGCTACAAACACCAACAGTTTTAAAGATGCCAAAGGCCCAATCCATACTTGAAGGAGTGCTGTTATACATCAGTAATGTCCTGTGAATAGCATGTATCTCCACTATGAAAAAGGTTCTGTTTTCAGTTTTGTGTCAAAGGCATGTTTCATATAATCCAATGATTTTCACAGAAAATATTTTATTTAGCTCAGGAAGTAAAACTGTCGTGAACAATAAAGGAAAACTGAAACTGTAAAAATCCACAAAATATATTGTTGTTACTGGACATAAAAACAAATATCAGAAGAGTTTGAGTTACAGATTAAAATGTGCTTTTTGTGTGAAAATAAAAAATGTTTAATATTACTGTAACAAAATCCAAAATAGTAATTTTGTTCAGTCTCTTTATAATACTGATGCAGAATTGAAGAATACTGTCAACATTTGAGGCCTGTTGGGTCGTGTTTAAGGAGTTATGTGTTTTTGTGGACATGTAAGGAACTCTTAAAATGTCGTATTTCTTAAAGGGAGTTTGGTGTAATATTTTCCACCAGGAGCAGGATGGGAAATAATCTCAGAAGGAGTCTAGTTGTAGTTTTGCAAATAGTGACCCTGTAAGATCCCCAGTATAAAAACTAACATTGTTTTTAGATAGGGGAGGGTGACAGACTTTAGTCTTTTTAAAAGTATTTTCATATTTTCGAAGTCCTCTAGTAGAGTGGTTCCCAGCTGGTGGGTCACGGTCCAAAAGTGGGTGCAGGTACAGCATTTCCTGCTGTAGATTGAGCGACTAATGGACAGCCACTTGACAGAGACAGCAAACTAGCTCAACGACATGGCCAAACACAAGTATAATGCTGACTGTATTAAACTGTGTGGACCTTGAACTAATGACTAAGGAGAAATCTGGACCAGTTGAGAACCACTGCATGTGAAAGTTTGCAAATTAAACAACATCCTTGGGTTGAATTCAGTTATTGGGTGTAACACTAAAGATCAGCCAGAGCTCAAACACAACACACACAGAGAGAAAAATCTCTCCATTGAAACAGATGTTGTGTTCATGAAGGAGCCCGCTGCTCATGGTGGCTGAGAACATGTTTAAATTGGATTAAGCAGTTGTTTGTCTTGTCTGTGTTAAAGGTTCTGTCCATCAATTTGGGAGTGAGGACATGTCCTATTCATGTGTTTAGATTTGGCACACGTGTGTAAAGGGTTTGAGCAAAATTGTCACAAGTGACCACTAGATGGCATCATAAGACCACTGAATGTGTGCAGATGGTCCCAAGCAATGACATCAGAGGCTGCTGTCAGTGTGTGCAGACTAGATATCCAAATTCCCATTGTAAATGAATA